TCCTAAAGTGTGTATATGCACACATGTGTATGTGCGTACATGTTAATGTATGTACAGACATGCGTGCAAGTGTTCATGCACATGTGCTTACATGCACGTGGAGGTCAGAGGTCAGCATTGGATAGATAGCTTCCATATCTGTTCTCTGATTCATTCTTTAGATTTACTTTTTTTTTTTTGGGGGGGGGGGGTGTCCAGGCAGGATTTCTCTCAGGGTTTCTCTGTATAGTCCTGGCTGTCCTGGAACTCACTCTGTAGACCAGGCTGGCATCAAACTCAGAAATCCACCTGCCTCTGCCTCCCAAGTGCTGGGATTAAAGGCGTCTGCCACCACTGCCCGGCTTCTTTAGACTTACTTACATTCATTCTTCAGAGTACATAGGGGCTTCTCTGAAAACCTTGAACACTTGAACACACTGGTCCTTAGAAATGTTGACTCTCTAATGTCTCACACCTGTGAATGTTGCCCTCATGTGACTTCCTGAGTTCTGGCACTAGAAACTCACCCAGAAGTATTGACTGCAGAGTCGACATCATGTGGCCTTCCGCACACTTGGTATTTCAGGGGCTTGGGCACAAATGAAGCATCCTGTTATCAGAGATTGTACAAAGGTTGCTCCTAATAGAACACCTGAGCTACTGATCCAGGGATTAGTGAACACCAAGTCTTAAGGACATGCTTGGTGGTAGCCAGAACATATATGTGATGAGTAGTCGGACTCCAGGGTCATCTTTCTAGAAGGGAGCAGGAAGTATTTTGGGCTGGTGATGGTCTTCTCAGAGGGCTATGAAAAATGAGTCTTCTTCATGGGAACCCTAGTTGGAGAGGCAGGAGCCATGCCCTCCACTCTCAACTTTGTTGCTGACTGACTGTATGACCTCACCTGACTCAGGTGAAGAGCCTCTCGGAAGGCTGTGTTAATAGTCGGCAACTGTGCATCAAGACAGCGTTGGTAGGCATCTGCTATCTTGTTTTTCCAAAATGCCCCATCATCTGTGGAAGAGCGTGACGGGAATCCCTGGTAGTGGAATGAGACGGGGTACAGAGACTTCTTCCAAGGATAGCGTGACTCTCCAAACCTACTCTGCTCAGCGTCCTTAGAAGCTGTCTCGTCACTTCAGACCAAAATTGAGTTTTGAACCTCAATTTTCCTCGTCTGAAAATTGGGACTATATAATAGAGTTTTATTCATGCCTCCTCTCCCTAGGTTTACAGTCTGTTCATTTCCTTCTTCTGTAGCACATTCTTTATTCTGCCTTTTATTTCACAAACAACCTTGGTGACTTTTCTGGGCAGGAATCCAGCCCTTACCATCCCTATGCTTCTCCAAGCCAGTCCCAGCACCTGCATGCAATGAGTATCAGTTGGGACCCAAGCAGAAGACAGGAATCACAGTTATTTGGACAGGAGGACTGTAATATCAGGAGTTAGTAATGTCCGATAGAAGCAACTACCAAGATGGGGTGAGGACATAGAGGTTACTGTAGGGCTGAAACTGAATGCCCAAGGAAGGACAAACTTTAAAAGGACACTTTCTCCATGGCTAAGATGTCAGTCAGATGCTGACATCTCTGGAGAAAGTGTGGCTGTCATCCTCAGGATGGCCAAAGAGTTTCTTAGGCTTCCTAAATCACAGCTGGGTGCCAGTCACTGAACAACAGAAAGTCTTCTGGGACATAGGCAAGGTGAGGTTAGAGGCCAGCTGTGCCAAGGGAGTTGGCACACACTGCCAGTGCAAGGCTAAAATGCACACAGTGCCTGCTTCAGGAGGGCCAGAGGGAAGTGCTTCCTGGGCCGGCTGCCAGGACTGCAAGGTCATTGAGTAACTGCCCTCCAGGCACGCAGCAAGGCAGAACAACATCCTCTCCCACAGACTGTACACACACCCTCCAGGATCCAAGCGTCAAAGAGACGCTTTCCCCAGTGGTATCTCCACATCACCCCCTATTGACAGGGCTTGAGTACTACTTGCTCGAGGGGGAAAATTCTACCGTTAAGAGCTGAGAAGCAGTAATGTATCATGATTTTTTTTTAATGTTCTAATTACAGTTGGGGAAATGGTTGAGTCAATAAGGTACTTGCCACACAAGCAAGAAGACATACCTTCACATCCCCAGCACCCCCATAAAGACCAGGTGTAATGGCATCATACATTTGTAGTCCTAGTATGTGGGTGACATGACAGAGAAAAGAGGGTCCCTGGAGCCCACTGGCCAGCCAGTAGCCAAACAGATAAGATCCAGGTTCAGTGAGAGAGACCTTGTCTCAAAAGATAAAGTTGGGGGATCTAGGGCGGGGGCTTAGCCAGTGAAAGCACCTGCTATTCAAACATGAGGGACTGAGTTCAAATCCCAGCATCCAAGTCGTTAGTGAAGCATAGTCATGTGCATCTATAACTCCAGCTGTGTGGGGGGCATTGAGACAGGAGGATCACCCAGATCTTGTCAGCCACCAGCCTCACTCCAGGATCAGTGAGAGAGCCCCATGTCAAGGGAGTGAGTCAGAGAGTGACAGCCAGACACCTGTCATCCTACACAGCATATGCATACCCCTCATGACCTGCACACACACACATGCTAAATTAATTCATCTTTTAAAGACAATAGGAAAGTTGATGATAGAAGACACTTGATTAATCACAGAGAACACATACACACATAACTAATTACATTTGTTAAAGCCACACAGCTTGCCAATGGCCGTCTTATCACCTGCCTACTTCCTTTCCTTTAAATCCCATAGATTAGACCAGTGAATGTCAAACCACTTTGTTTCTTTTGTAATTTACTGTCTGGAAAGCCCCGTCCCCTCAGGCATTCTGTTTTGTCCTCCTCTCCTCCTGGCTCACACTTGAGAGACTGAGAGACCAGCTCTGACTCCCACAATCCCTCATTTTACAACTGACTTCTCCACACAGGCTCGAATGGCTCGCCCACTGTCTGTTTCATTTCCAGGCAGTCCACCTGTCTATCCCAGGCAGTAGGAGTGCCCAGAAGCACTGGACTGAAACAGGCCGTGGGAGGAACCCCGGGTTCATCTAAAAGCCAAGCTTTCTATGCCTTTGAGGAATGCGCCACAGACATCTCAGGGCAGGCCTGAGATTCATCTTCCGTGACCAGTCGGAAGACATTTGTCCATAAGGCCTCTAATTTTAGAATTGAGAATATATTAGGAGAGTAGGCAGTTGGGGGGCAGAGGAGGTGGCTCATTGGGTAAAATGCTGACTGACCCCCAGTTCCCACATAAGAAGCTGTGTGTTATGGTATGAAGTTCTGGGAGACAAGAGGCAGGAGAGTCCCAGCAGCTCACTGGCTGTCCTGTCTAGCTTAAGCTCCGCTGAGCTCCAGATTCAGTGAGACACCCTGTTTCAAAAATAGGTAGTGAGTGAAAGAGAAACTCTGACTTGCACACGTGTTGTATGGCACTTGCACATACACACCAAAATAGAGGAAGGAGAAGACAGGCAGTAGAGCAAACAGCAGACTTGGCAGAGAGTTTCCAGGATGACCACTAAGCTAAAAATGCTCACCTGACTCAGGTGAAGAGCCCTTGGGCACTGCCCTTCAGAAGGCTGTGTTAATAGGGACCAACTGTGCATCAAGACAGCGTTGGTAGGCATCTGCCATCTTGTTTTTCCAAAATGCCCCATCATCTGTGGGAGAGCGTGACGGAAATCCCTGGTAGTGGAATAAGACGGGGTACAGAGACTTCTTCCAAGGATAGCGTGACTCTCCAGACCTACTCTGTTCAGCGTCCTTTGCGTCATCACTTCAGACCAAAATATGGGTTGTGTATAGTGATTTAAAAATGTTCTAGACATAAAGAACCTAGCCATGGGGTACCCTGTTCACACAGCAATGAAATGCACACTTGATTTGGGATGTAGCTCGGTTGGTAGAGTGCTTGCTTAACATACATGAGCCCCGGGCTCAGTCAGAAGTATCTCAGAAGACCAGGCATGTGGATACAAGTTTGCAGTCTCAGTACCAAGGCGGTAGAGGCAGGAGGATCCGAAGCTCAAGGCTGTATTTGGCAGCTTGAGCAACTGTGAAATCCTGTCCCAAGAAAGAAAAATACCTGGGCAGTGGTGGTGGTCCCAGCACTCAGGAGGCAGAGGCAGGTGAATCTCTGTTAGCTCGAGCCCAGCCTGGTCTACATAGTGAGTTCTGGGACAGGCAGAGCTATGTAGAAAGTCCCTGTCTCAAAAAGAAACAGAGAAAAGAAAAATTATAAGAAGAAAATATTTAATCCTAGGCAAAAGGAAAGGGCTTGTGGTTTATTTTTCTCTTTGCTTGTCTCTGTTTCCTGCAATGAGAGTGAATTATTTGTGAATTAAACACATATAAAAGTTAATGAGGGGCTGGCAAGATGGCTCAGTAGGTAAAGGCATCTGTTGCCATGCCTGGCAACCTGAGTTAGGTCCCCAGGACCCACATGGTGGGAAGAGCCAACGCAAGCAGCTTGCCCTCTGACCCCCACATGGACACACCATGGCATTCATACACACACACACACACACACACACACACACACACACACACACTCTCGATAACCTTTTTTAAATTAACGAAATGGCCCTCGTACTTTTCTCCTCTAGTCTTGGGCTGTGTCTCTGCTTTTTTGTCTCAGCTCTCACCAGACCCTCCCAGCCTCTGCCCAGACGAGCTGCCAAAACTCAGCAGTTTTCAATTTTTTGGAAGAGCTTTTTGGAAAAGATTTGTTTCCTCATTCTTGAATTTCTAAAAACAGCCCACTTCTTCATCTCCCCCTCAGCGTGCGATGACAGATCCTACACCTGCCTCTGATGCCCCACAACCTAAGTGAGGAATAAGAGCCTGTCATGATTCTCGCACATTCTGTGGCAGGCAAAGCCAGCGGGCGTGGGGCCTCGGGAAGGTGCCCTGTCTGGTGCCTGTTGCCCTAGGCACGGATGTCCTAACCACCGGCGCTCAGCAAGATTTCATCCGCTAATCTTGGATGTGTTTCTCTGTCCTTTCAGATTTTTGACAGTGAAGCCAAAGACCTCGAGAGAGAAGTGTGCTTCATCGATATCGCCTGTGATGAAATTCCAGAACGCTACTACAAAGAATCTGAGGTAAGTAGTCGTAACAAAAGCAATTCGTTCGTTCATTCGTTCATTCATTCCACTGTGATTGTTGAAACACTTCCTATCTTAGGACACTTCCACGATGTGACCTTTATATTCATTTAGTTTAGTCTCAATATCTCATTGGTTCTTTAAGATTGATTTGTTTTTAATGTGTTCGGGTGTTTTCTGGACACCAAGTGCATGCAGTGCCTGCAGTGACCAAAAGAGGGCACCAGATCCCCTGGAGCTGTTACGCATGATTGTGAGCCGCCATAGGGGTGCTGGGAATTGAACCCAGATCCGCTGGAGGATCGGCCAGTGATCTTAACCACCAAACCTTCTCTCCATCTCTGGATTCTTTAATGCAAGTTCAAAATGGAGTCCCCGAGCCGCCTTTTGCTTGCATTTGGCCTTCTTTATCCTCCCAACTCGGTCGTCATTCACCGTGACATGACATCAGAGTTCCTAGGGCTAAGCATTCATCATATTGGCCTCTCGGAATGCAGCAGCCTGGCTGTGTGAGGACCCAACAGCATTACATTTCTGTCTTTGATGTTTAACATAAAGAAAATCCTCAGTCAAGCCTGCAACCTTTGATGGTTCATGTTGGCCCAGAAACCATCCTCCTAAAATAGCAGGCGCCTTCCCGAGGGCTTCTTTTCTTGCCTGGGAATGGTCGGAGGAGACCAGCTTCCCCTCTGGCTCGTCCCCTCTCAGTCCCCCCTCTGCCTCGCCGCTTACCCTTTGTGTCACTGTCGATGCCAGTCATTATTTATATCCTGTTAGTAGCTTATTAATGGCTGCTGATGGAACTTGAGTGGCCCGCTTGTGAACAGTGTCCCAGCCCTGGGATGACAACAAATGCGGGGCTATTTTTGTTGTTCAGCCACACACAGCCAATCACAGTGTGTTTATCGGGGCCCAGATTTGTCCTTGAGCTCTAACACATGGACCTTGAAGCTCTTCTCTCATAGTCATTAGAGCTGATGGAAGATGCCATCCATAAACCCATTAAAAGTAAACTCCGGGCCACTGAGATGGTTGTGCGGCTAAAGGTGCTTGCAGCCAAGCCTTGAGGCCCTGAGTTCAAGCCCTAAGACCCCACAAGGTGGAAAGAATTCAGATTCCCACAAGTTGTCTTCTCATTTCCACACTCACACTGTGCACACACGCACACACACAAAAGTAAATAAATACGAATAAAGAAAATTTTTTTTGAATTTCAACATGAATTCTAGTCTGTTACAAACTAGACTGCCTGGTAGTTTAAATCTTTACCTGCCTATTTGGGGATTTGTTTGGCTGGGAAAGCCTTACTTGGTGTTAGCAGATGTCCACTTGCTCCACTAGAGGCTGGAGGTCGTGCTATCTTCTGCTAATTGCTTTAGATCACGCCGGCGTATGGTAGCTCATCCCTTCACAAGAGCTGCATAGAGACAGAAGCTCGAGGCTTCTCCGTTCTCGGATCTCACCAGCTACTTTCACGGCGGCTCAGCGCAGATGCTCTCTCAACGGTTGTTGAAGGAGTGAGGGAGGCCGAGGGCTTTGTTTCCTTCCAGTGGTCGTAATTTCCTAGCAAGTGCCATTAAACTACCAGTTGTGAATCAGAGATATTTTTCCCCCGTAGTGTGAGACTTACAGATTACTCTTGCAGCTCTACAGTCGATTCCTGCAGCATCTTAAGCAAGAACACCTTGGGCAGAAGCTGAGGGGGGAGCTGTAGGGGGAGGGGTGGGAGGGGGGCTGTAATTGCAGGGGAGTTGGAGAGCCTTATCACAGAGTGTATTTTTTTTTTCGATGCTGATAAATCTAGACCATGTTTTTCTGAGGCATGCCTTTCCACCAGTCTACTGTCCCACATACTGTCACCCAGGCCAGAGGAAGGGACCAAAGCTTTCTGTCTCTTTTTCCCACTTCCCCCGGAAGCCTCTGAGCCACACAGTCGAGAATGCCTCCCATTAAGGTGGCCAGAGCTGGGAATTTTCCACTGCCTAGCTCCTGCTTGACAGACGTCTTACCACCACTAACTAGGATTCTGAGGGGTACTTTAGGGACTCAGGGTCAGCTGATGGACCGACCTAAGGTTCCGCTTAATTCTCATCCTGCAGGGTTCCTGTTTCCTACCCAAATCCACAGCCTGAGCAGCAGCTCCCAAAACCGCTTACACCTGGTTTCAGCCTTTTTTTTAACTTTTTAATTTTTATTCATATGTTTGTGTGTGTGTGTGTGTGTGTGTGTGTGTGTGTGTGTGTGCAGATACCTTAGAAGGCCAAAAGAGAGCCCCTCAATCTTATGTCAACTAGAGGGACTGAAAAGCAGGGCTGTTGTGGGGTCATTTTAACCGGAGCATCGAGATGGCTTTGTGGGTAAAATGCTTCCCCCCAAGCTTGAGGAAGTAAGTATCCCCAGAACGCCAATAGAGATCATCAGTGAGCAGCACCAGGTTTAGTAAAGTAGAGAGAGGTGAAAGAGGACACCGAGTGTGGACAACTGGCCTCCACCTGTGCATAGGTGGGTACACAACACACACACACAATCGGTGTAAATCTGGGGCGTCAGAGAAAATACTTCTACTAAGAAACACAGACACAGAGTCCTGGCTGCCTCTGGAATTCAGAAAGCTCTTGGTGCCAAGTCACATGCCCAGGTCCATCAGTGCCAGCGAAACAGCAGAGGGTGAGAATGAGCCCTCCACAGTCTGCCCTCACCGTGAGGCTGATACATGGCTTCTTGGCGTCTGCCAAGATTTCCATCCTGACTCTCTGGTGCTCTGCCAAGATTTCAAGGTGAAGTTCCCAGTGGAGGAACAAGGGACTGTGCAGAGGGCACAGGCCAAGAGACCCATCTGTAAAACTGAGGTGCCAGTTCCAGGGGATTAAGAACCAAACCTCACTCCCACCCTGCAGAACTGGTCCACCCTAGGCAGCCTCAAAGACAAGTGCAGAGACCGCAGACGTTGCAGGTGCTGTTGACCACTGTTGAATCTGGTTCTCTTGCCTGATCGTTTAGTGTGTTGCTTCATAGGCTTGGCTTCCATGACGACTGCTCCCAGAGAAAATAGTACATTTATTGGCCTTCTCTGGGCTGCCCCTGCAGCTCCAACCAGCTCCAACCACACCTAGCCAGAGATACAAGCTAGCCAGATGGAGGAAGGTGTGTCTTTTAAATTTCAGATGTGCTTCCAGTACTAAGGGGCATGGGAGAAAAGGAATAAGTGGACTTCCCTAGTCAAGAAAGTGGAGGGTGTGGTGTGCTGGACACGGCGGCTCACCCTCTAATCCCAGCATCATTCCAGAGGCAGAGGCAGGTGGATCTCCGTGAGTTCAAGGCCAGCCTGGTCTGCATAGGAAAACCTTGTCTCTAAAAAGAAGGAAGGGAGGAAGTAAGGGGGGAGAGGGAGATGGAAAGAGAGAGAGAGAGAGAGAGAGAGAGAGAGAGAGAGAGAGAGAGAGGGAGGGAGGGAGGGTGGGAGGGAGGGAGGGAGGGAGGGAGGAGAGGAGAAGAGGGGCTGTGGTGGTGGTAGTGTGATGGTTTTGTTCTTGTTCACTTTTGGGTTTTGTTTATAGATCTATTTTATTTGTATGTGTGTTTTGCCTGTGTTTATGTGTAGACCACATGTGTGCCATGCCCAAGGGGGCTGGAAGGAGGCACTGGATCCTCTAGAACTGGAGTTACAGATGGTTGTGAGCTTATGGATGCTGGGAACTCAACCTAGTTCCTCTGCAGGAGCATCGAGTGTTCATGCCCTCCGAACATCTCTCCAGCCCTCCACTTCCTTTTGATCTTGGCTTTCTTGTTGTATGAAGGAAATTTCTCTCCTTGTCATCTTAGGGAATGTGAAAGCATTTGTCTGATGATAGAGCTTAGTCATTTTAGTGGGCGAGTTTGAGTTTGAACTTGAATACCGATAAAGAAGGGTCACACAGGGCTCAGCCATTAAGAACATTTGCTGTTCTCGTAGAACAGCCAAAATCAGTTCCCAGCACCCAAGTAAGATGAATGTGGTAGCGTGTGAGCACACACACACAAAAATAAATAAAAAGAATAGTCCCATGAGGCTGTCCTGGCAGTGTGTGCCCCTCATGCATAGTGGGACATATGTTGGAACAGAGATGGAATTTGATTTAGGACTTTCTCCTTGGACTGAGATGACTCTTAAAACTTGGTCTCCAGTCCCTGGATCATAGTCTCCCTGGCCCAAAGTATCCTGGGCAGCTGGTTCATCATTCACTGCAATCTAAAACGTCTGTTGACTCCACTCTTAAGGGAGAGAGCAGAGAACAAAGAGAGACATCTAACTTTTCCAATAACTGTCAAGGGTAAGAGATTAAATGCTGTTTGCTAAGGACAGGCCCCCCAGAAAGGAAACAGACACACCAGATGAGTAAATACTGCCGTCCTTATCTGCACCCTTTCAAGCCTCTCAGCTCTCTCAAATTAACATATTTTCAACTGGGTTTGCATCTTGGTGGTTAAGAGTATTTTAGATTCTCAGTTATCTCCAAGGGCCATGTTGGACACAGATGCCTCATGCTGGGATGAGTATTAAATTAAATTTGTTATTGTGTTGTTGTGGTGGTGGTGGTGATGATGGTGGGGATGGTGGGGATGGTACTGGTGGTTGCCCCCCTCCAACCTCCCAGCCCATTCTGTTTCTTTCTGAGAGAATGAAGCTGTTTGGGGATAGGTTCCTAGTGCCTCCTGGGTAATAAAAGGGGTCACAGTTTGCTCAGTGTGGGGAAAGAAAAGTGTCCATGGCCACAAGGATCCCCTGTGGGAATCTTGGGACCCAAGGTTAGGGAGCCAGCAAGGGAGAGACACTGAAGGGAAGGATCCCCAACAGCTACTGCATCGCTGGATCAGGGGCCCTCCCTCACCAGGGGCTGGGTTGTGCTAATGCTGTTAGAATCTAAGATGGGGCTGTGTGTGTCTCTGACACATGATGTTTATCATGTCTGGCATGTGCAAAGAGCCTGGTTCCATCACTAGCATAGGAAAAAAGAGAG